TAAGAAAAATCCAGTTTTGTTACATTTTAAAGGATGTAGACGAGTCTGTTATTGTCATTCTGCTAGCCATGGCCCGGGTCTCAAGGAATTTGTTACATTGTGTGATGAGTTCTAACTTCAGTTGAACATATCCAAGACAAAAGATATAATCACTGACTCTAGATTACCATATACAACAGGTCACACCCATCAAGGCTCAGATAGTCGAATGCATTCAATGTTATAAATATTTTGGAAAAGTTATTTATTCAAAGCAGAATTTTAAAGCGAACTGTTTGCCTGTGTTCAAAGAGAGGGCGACTCATGTTTGGGAGTCTCGTTTTCACACTGATACAAGCGTGGTGTTTTTTTTATGTGCTTTTACAGAATATGTTTGATCTTTTTTTCATCAGTCAATCAAATTGTTGAGTAGTCTAACAGGCGGGTTGGTGAACCACAGCTGAACCTAGCATACCTGTACACCAGACAGTCACAGCGGTTGGCTGCTTCAGTTGCACTCTTTGGATAGTGAGGTCCAGTCTCTCACTTCTGGATGGTCCCAAAGTGTAGAACAACAAGGTTTGCAAACAGCTTTGTTCCAGCACTCAGGTGAACAAATCATAGCGTTACTTGTGTTGCATTGTTTGTTGATTCAACTAAAGAAACAGGAACAAGTGATGTGTTTTTGCAAGAGGCTGCCTGTAATAAAGAGCCTAAAGACAACACTGAGTGTGTGTTTGCCTACTGTCTGACCTATTTATGCTCGAATGATTCTTAGATGAGTGTCAAGCGTGACGCGCTGAAAGGTTCAAGGTTAGCACTTCAACTTAAGACAACACCAGCAAATAGAAAAGCAGTGCAAAAGCACACAAAATGAAATGGAAGCAGGTTTTTGAAAGACTCTCAGACTTATTTATATTTTTATTTATATTGTGCTAAATCACATATTCTGTTACCTTAAAGTGCAATCAAATTAAAAATTAAGTTAAAAAATTAATAAATGTTAATAAATTTCCATTAGAAGATTTAATGTTTAGAAAGTCACTTGTTTCTGTGAGATGAGAAAAGTTGTAAAAGGGTTTATTTTCATTTATTTTTTAAATCTGAGAAGAGAGAGCATTCCTAAATGTAAATAGGATTTACTTGTGTAACACAAAAAATGCTACTTTATACTCGTCCAAACTTAAGATCTAGAAAGTAGAAAGAAAATAGTTTCTCAGAAGCAGCCCCAGATGGATGACTGGAATACAACCAGAGGGAAGTGAGAGTTGGCTGACAGTGACTAATTGTCATATTTGGGCAGTTCTTGTGACAGCAGAGCTGCAGATTGCATTTGCTGCTTCGTTGGTGCTAACAACATTTCCACACAGACTTTTTTATCTTCCGATTTGCCTCTGATGGATTGAGGATTGAGGAAACTCCTCATAAGGCCACAGACAGACAAATCTCTGGCCTGTGACAAAACCCTCAGAGTTTGCAGTTTTAGATAAGCATTTGAACTTGGCCCTATTAAACATTAAATTACATCATAAACTTTATTGCATTAATATTTACAAAGATCAGTGGGATCTTACTGAGGAATTAAGTAATTATGACCTTTATCACAGCTCAGTAATGTGTGGAGTTTTCCTTTTTTTTCCTTTGTGGGTTTTATCCGGGGCGGGTAGTCCAGCTTCCTTGAGTCCAGAGACATGCTTGTTACCTCCCCAACACAGGACACCCCAACAGACATGGCTGAAGTCTTCTCTAAGCTCACACAGCTGTAGACTGACTGGGGAAACACCCAACCAACCTCTAACGTAAAGAACAAGATAATCTACTGTTCCTCAATCAGAACAACTAGAACTAGAATCTGATGTTCGACTAGCAGGTGTTTTTCCCAGTATTGACCATTGCTTTTCTTTAAAAAAAAAATTTTCTCCAAAGTCTGGGCACTCAGAACATCATTATTCAGAATGACATTCATCAAAAAAATTATACAAATATAGCAGACAAATAATTAGATGTAAAACATTACACATTTATGCTTTTATATAGTTGCACTAAAACAGAAAAAGTAATTGTTCTCCCTTGAAATCTTACTCTTTGCATTTATTTGAATAAATCATCTCCAGTATTTACACCCAAAGCCTTTTGTCTTGAGTAATGCAGCCTCCTCAGGCTTTTACTTTGGAGGCAAACAGTAACCAGATTTCAACACCCCACATGTGAGAAGGAGAGATCGTATACATCCCTGGGGAAGAGCCACAGAAGAAGAAACAGGGCAAAGGCAAGTGGCTAATCCTCAAATCAGCAGCATTTCCAACCCTCCGCACTGAGCCTGTAATCTGTGGGCCAGGCAGAGGCAGGAGCAGTCTTGCAGGTTTGGCTCCAGCTGTTTGATGGCTTAATTAAGAGGTCCAGTGGGATCAGTCAGACATGCTGCACTGCTTGTTGTAGGCCTAAAAACACTCAGTTACTGTAATACATTTAACATAGTTCTCATGCGGCGCCTGGTCAAGCTCTTTACTTTACACTTCACTGGAGACAATGTGGGATCTGAGGGGAAGGCAGGGAGTAAGTGAACTGTATAACAAAGGCTTGCTGATTTTAGATTTTGTAATATTTGTAATATTATTTTAACATTATTTTGTCGTTACTTTGGTGGCATTCTATTTCAATAAGCAATATGCAGAGTCTTTAAAAAAATGTAAAACATTTAATGAGTTGTAGGTAACAACTGTGGCAAATTCAGTCGTGGTGTTATAAGATTAGCTTGGAATCTGGTCAGGAGGTATTACAAGGTGGGCTGAGGATCAATAAAAACAATTTAACATTGTATTTTGGTCCATCGCAGACTGAGCAAGTGTTACACAATAGAGCTTTAAAGACATAATTTGCTGTTGCATTAGCCATCATCAGTTCTGGTCGTGTATTTTCCTACAAAGCTCTGTCTGAAAAAAGAGAGAAGCAAAAATGATAACATAGACCAAGCACTGGAAGCACTGGACATTTTACCTTATTTAAAGGTGTCTCCATTTCTAGATCAGTTTACTGTTTTGAACTGAAAATTGCAGCAAAGTTGACCCACATGTTGAATATAAATATTAAAATAAGTTTAAATTTATAAGTTTAAACTACTCAAGAAGTTAAAAATGTTATTCTACAAACTAAGACAAGGTTTTATTGAGCAGGAGATTACAGTCCAACTTTACCAGAAAAGCAACAACATTAGTTGTTTTATAAGTTTAGAAGACACTTGGGTATGTTGTAGAAAAGGTTTCTGTTTTGTTTTTAAATCCTGAGACAGTCCTTTGACTTATGCTGTGTAGTGAAAAAGTACTGACATCCTTTATTTAAGGATCATTTTGTGTTGGGTGGTAAATGGTACTCTCCCGGAGTACTCAAAGCACTCGATACATTATTTGTCAGACTCAAGAGTTGGGAGTTCGTCTTGTAATCAGAAGGTTGCCGGTTCGAGCCCTGGCTTCCAACAGTCTCGGTCGTTGTGTCCTTGGGCAAGACACTTCACCCGCTGCCTGCTGGTGGTCAGAGGGCCCGGTGGCCCAGTGGCGCCAGTGTCCGGCAGCCTCGCTTCTGTCAGTGCGCCCCAGGGTGGCTGTGGCTACAATGTAGCTGCCATCACCTGTGGGTGGATGACTGGATGTGTAAAGCGCTATACAAATACAGGCCATTTACCATTTGATCGACCTTATTGAGAAATACTAAGTCAACTTAGAAATTAATTTGAAAATGCAATTATCTTGCAGTTATCTCAAAACTTTTCACATCAGTTCCACTAGAACTGGCCTAATGAAACTGATCTCCTGTCCTTCTTAATAAATAAAGATTATTTTTTAAAGTAAAATCCATTTCAGCCAATCAAAGGTTGTAAGGCGCATTACGCCTCCATCTTGGATCCCTGAATGCCGACCCTCCAGTAGTTATTCATCATGACAAGGTACCACTCTGCTCCCTGCCTGAACAACAGTCCCACATGTTATTCCACGCAGCAGATCAACGGAGTGACAGACCGGACAACCCGCCTCCATCCCTGCAAAAACCAACCAATGAGACTACAGAGCGGGGACGAGCCTTCAGCGACATCCTCTCGTTTCTCACTACGCTGAGGCTGTAAGGTACCCTGGCAGTCATGTGACGGCTCCATAGTACAACTCAGTCAGCACTCAGTCCAGTCTGAACTCTTCCTCTGCTGCTGCTGCTGCATGGAGAACCTCAAGGGCAAACTGTGGCTCGTCGAATGCAACGGATAAAACACATCCTCCTCGCGTATTTTGCTCTGGGATTATATTCTGGTTGCACGATCGAGGTAAGATCGGAGTTTTTCTCTCTTTCTTTTCCCCCAGGTCTCTCAGAGCGTGCAGGACGCGTTTCCCTTCCGTGCCATATGCTGCAGCAGCAGGCAGGATGAAAACATGTTTACGTTGAGAGCGGAGACGCGTGCCTACTCATGCGTAATGCGCCGCAGAGAGGGACACTCGGGAAAAACAAAGCACACATATGTATACGGAGGACTTTCAGGGTTCACAGTTTAATCAGTTTGACACCAGAGTGTAAGTGAATGGAATCTGAATGAGTTTTGCTGTCCCATTTTCAGCTGCGCCTGAGAGTCACTGCTGTCTGAAACCCGATGGCGTGGAAGAGTTAATGGTTACACATGCCGATATAATTATTAAGCAAGTACAAATAAGGAGAAAAAACCATCAGCCATAATTACAATTTTAACATATGATTACAAAATATAGCCTTGAAATGTTGCATGTAAAGCGACAACATTTTGTGAATATAAATGCAACAACTTAAATCTAAAAGAATGCTTTTGCGCTGTGACTGATTTACTGATCCTTTATCGTCCCGTAAACACGCCGAACAGGTGATTTACGCATTCAGAGGAGGAACCCACGCTGCTCCTGGCTGCCCCCTGCGGCGTTTCAGGATAATGTTCTCTCTCTCTCTCCCTCCCTCTCTCTCTCTCGCTGGTCGGGTTCATCCTCGTTCATTCAGACCATACAGGGGCCCCTAAAAAGGGAGGGCAAATAGTGGAGGCAGGGAGAGGGGAAGAGAGTATGACCGACGCTCCTCGTTCCAGGAAAATAGCCTATTTATGAAGACTACACTAGCACATTGTAAAACTATGATAATGTGAACTCATACTGCATACTATCACTCTGATCTGGACACATGTAAAGAAAGTACAGCCAGCTGACTTGTAAACATAGATCAGACACAGATACAGAAACCAGCCTCAGTTAAGGTATGTCATTGAACCATAGCTCTGTTAAGATATCATGAGAGTGTATCTAAAACTTGAGATTTGTTCCTGTAAACAGCATAGCGATGGTTAGACATAAAAGAACCCGAACTTAAGCAATGTTTAAAAATTCAAATATTTACATGTTTAAAATGGGAAAAGCCTTAAATTGGGAAAAATAAAAACCCTGTGATTGTGTGAATTACACGAAAGATATTGAAGCAGAGATTCAGGCAGATAAAGTCCAAACCTTTGTGACTAGTTTAAACATTAAAAGATCAGGGCCTCCAAAGTTGGCTGAGATTGACACTTTTTTTAAAACAGATTTTGAAACAAATGTTGTAAGTACAGTATTGCTATCAAAGGTCATAGCACACTACTTCAAATCCAGCTGCAATTTTTGATGAACTGCAGGGATCATTTACATTTACACAAATTTTGTGTGGTAGAAAAATAAACCGGGCTAATAATATGTAACATCCTTTAACGCTTGCACACTGGCATAGAAAATTGGGCTCCTCTATTAGTGTATGTGGATTATTGACAAAATATGGGTGTTTTAAAATGGTTATAGCCAATGTACAAGTACCGAGACAACACAGGGAGAACACTAACTTAGTAGTTAAGCCCTCCAACATTACTTTTTATCAATTCATCTTTTCAAAAGAAACCAAACAAACCCAAAGAAGTTAGCAGAACTAAAAAAAATGGCTTATGAGTTTATGAACTCATCAGAACTCTTTCAGAGTCAAAAATGACCCTGAGTGTTTTTCATGCACTTGTTGTTTCTGCACTCAAACCTAATAAAATGAATCATTTTAAGAAGGTAACACAATTATGCAGCATTGATACAGTTTAGGGACTTCTTTAACAATGAAGACATGGACACACTGTGTATGCATATATTTGTTTGCAGTTTTTGTTTGTTTATATATAATGGTATGCTTTCAGGCTTTGTCAAATGTGCAGCAGCTGCTTGTGGCATGGAGATTAACCGACTTGTCATCATCTCTGTTTATTCTTTTAGACATACTGTTTCCTGTCCGGAGACCTTGGATTGCGAGCGTCTTTCTCCAGCGCTAACACCAGGTGTTTTTGGTATCTCATCCGTGAGAAGTGTGACCTTTGTGACCTGGGTATATTTGGTCTTCTCCACCAGCAGAAGGAATAATTCTCTTGCAAGTCATCCCTAAACACAGACTCTGAGTCCAGAAAGAGACAGTGGTTTGGCAGTATCCAGGGATGGTAGATAACTCCTTTGTGAGTGAAGACACTTTTCTTCTTTACAGCGGTGCTCCAGTGGCCTGCCAGCAATCTGACATGGTCAAGGACTTGGGCTCCTACCAGGTTATGCCGTCACCATTTTCGGAGGAGGACCTGAGCGACTCATCCAGTCCTCGTTCCTGCTCCAGCCCAGACTCCCAGGTGCTGAGCTCCAGCTATGGTAGCAGCTCTAGTGCTGAAAGTCAGGACAGTATGCTGGACCACCTGCTGTCTCAGGCCTCCTTAGGGAGTGCCAACAGCGTTACCACAGAATCCGTGGATCCTATGCCATTATCCACTTTGCTGTGGGATTCACGGAAAGAAGAGCCGTTCAAACGTGAGCAAGTAAAGGAGGAAAATTTTGACTTCTTCACCTGGACCCATGGTGAGCTAAAAGAACAGCTTGTAGGGTGTTTCCAGCCCACGCTGGAAGAGATAGAAGAATTCCTGGAGGAGAACATGGACGTGGTGACAATGAAACAGGAGATCCGAGAGGATTGCCCAGAGTTGGGAGTAACGCAGGAGTCTTTTGGTCTAGAAGTTGGCCTGGAGTGGTGCGTAGAGGCCTCCCCTGAGCCTAAAGTAGAGCCAGAGGCAAAGTATTCTGACCAAACTGTTCCCACTGTCGGCACTGCAGGTCTGGTGGCTGTTGCGTCTAGTGACACCAAAACCACAAGAATTAACCCCACACAGGAGTCCAGCACAGGGGCCAAGAAGGAATCCACTAACAAACCTTCATCTTCAGACAGCGACACAAATGGTAATGGAATGCCGGTCATTCTGCAAATCCAGCCTATACAGATCAAGCAGGAGCCTACAGTGCCACCACTTACTCCAGCAGCCCATCCCCCACAGCCTGCCCCAGCCTCAGACATCAAAATTGCACAGCTACTGGTCAACATCCAAGGTCAAACTTTTGCCCTTGTGCCCCACATCCTGCCCTCCCCCAGCCTTAACGTCTCCTCAAAGTTTGTACGAATCGCTCCAGTCCCAATTGCAGCCAAACCTCTTGGGCTCGGGGACAGCTCTACTAGCCAGGCATCAGGAATCCTTGTTGGCGGACAAAAATTCCAGAAGAACACAGTGGCGGATCTCATCAAAATGCACAAATGCTCTTTTCCTGGCTGCACCAAGATGTACACCAAGAGCAGCCACCTGAAGGCCCACCTGAGGAGGCACACAGGGGAGAAGCCTTTTGCCTGCAACTGGCAGGGCTGCGGATGGAGGTGGGTACCGAGGAACCGAATGCTCTTACATATAACATAGTATGTTTAGTATGTTTTCTTAGCAGACTAGATTCAAAGATTGACTCATATATACGAGTGATTAAGTGTAACCTGTGTAAAGGTTTGTTTGTTAACACAGCAATAACAGCAGGCTGTAGCAGGCATCTGCATGATTTCATTACTGGCCTAGCTGCAGTAATTTTTTGTCAGTCGGACATATCCCTGTTCATCATGTGTGGTGCAGAGTCCAAGTAACTTAAACCCCCAAAATCCACAATCTAATATTAGTGTTTTAGGTTTAGACAAAAATTAAAAGGGGCATTTCTTAAAAAGTAGATTATGTTACATTTCACATTCAATCTAATTCAGTTTGTAACAGTAAAGCAAAAGATGCCATCCTGTGGTTTTTTCCTTTTCACTAACCCATTAAGCTGAAGAGCTGTTAGTAGCTGCCTTGCAGTCTAGCAAGTGCTAATTGGAGTGATGTGAGGTGGTGTCACCACAGAGATATCCAAGTTGGGTAAGAATAACCATGGTGTCTTTTTTTCTGTGGATGTAAACTAAATCTGTCACAGTGCATGTGGACTGGAGTCACATGGTCACAACATGGATGCCTCCTGTTGAGACCTGACAGCTGTGCAGTTGCTGGGGCAGCATGAGTGTGTGTGTGTGTGTTTGTGTTTTTTCAGTATAAAACAGCAAGAGTTAATTTAGAACCTGCTGTGTTTAATGGCAGAGGAAGAAGGTGGATGTCTTCATCAGTAGGCAATTACTTTGCTAATTAAAGTAAAGTGTCTTTTTGCTTTTATTAACGTGGAAGTCTGTTTGTGTGAATGTGATGGAGTTTGACTCCTGTTCAGAGTTGGCAGAGCTAAGCTGGCCTGTTTCCTGAGGACATCAGGTGGGATGTTCAGGCTGACCTTAAGCTAGTGAAGAGTACAACACTGACTTTATGTCCCATGAGTAAAATGAACTTTTGTACTTTTTAATCAGTAGCTCCAAAAAGGACCCAGAACGGATGGAAAACAGACATGTTTTAACTTAAAAAAAATAGTTCTGCCACTATCTTGAAAAGCTTTTCTTTAAACGTTGATAGTGAATAACATATTCTTGCCTATCTATCTATCTATCTATCTATCTATCTATCTATCTATCTATCTATCTATCTATCTATCTATCTATCTATCTATCTATCTATCTATCTATCTGTCTGTCTGTCTGTCCGTCCGTCCGTCCGTCCGTCCGTCCGTCCGTCCGTCCGTCCGTCCGTCCGTCCGTCCGTCCGTCCGTCGGCAAAACTGACTTTTTAATATTTTTAGAAAAGTATTGGAAGTGGAAGTTGCCACTAATGATGACTCAGATCTCAGAGGGTTAAGCTCTTTATGTACCATGTAGCCACAACTACAGCCAATTTAGAGTCACCAGTTAACCCAATATGTGTGTCTTTGTATTGTGGGACTACGATTTCCTGGACAAAAGCCACACAGACAAAGAGAACATACACACATAAACTCAGAGTGTTTTTGCCTCAATGCAAGAGTGCTGTACTCACCACAGTGTAGTCCCAAGTAACACTCCAGTGGAACAGTTTCTGTGGTGTAGCCATATAATAACAACACATAAAAGAAGTTGTGGTCATTTCACATATTTCTGTCAGATCAGGTTGATGTCATATTGACTTTGGACTGAATTGAAAATCTGCACTTTGGATTTGTTAAAATGTGTTTGAATTAGATGACATGTTTTCAAATATGTAATTTTTACAAATCCAAAATATCTTTTCCAGTAAGGACTTCCCAGGAAAAGATTTAAAAAGCATGTTGACCATGTAGAACACTGACGCTAGACTGAACTTACAGCCGGCAACGATAAACAAAAACTGGGTAAAATATTTGGACAGGTCAGAAGCAGAGCCTCTTCAAATTTGGTCATAGCGTCTTTTGCCTTTGAAAAGAATGAACAGTAAATAAAAAATACTCCAACCAGTGTGTTTTTACATAATTTGACGTACAAGAACCAGTCTTTCAGGAGATAACATGCAGTCACTCACAAACTCAAAGCATGCAGGTAGCAGGCAATAAATAATATCTCCTAAAAGCTTTGTATTGTGGTATTCCCAACCTGGCAACATGCCACCAGGCATGTACCCTACAGCGGGACTGCTGTGTCCTGATACATGAGCTGCAGAAATTTGTGCAGTAGTAATCCAGGCAGTGTGTCCCAGCTAACAAAGGGCTCTTGTCTGTACACAAAAGGCAGGATCTAGTTAGGATGAAAGTGTGTGTGTGTGTTTGTGTGTGTGTGTGTGTTTCAGAGAAAAAAAGAGAAAACCAGTGTGTGTGAAACCCACTGTATGTGTTGGGATAAATGAGGGGGCCTCCCAAAGGGTGAGGGGGGCAGGTTGGGAAAATTATTAAAGTAGCTGCTGATTGAGCCGAGACGCAAAGACTACGATTTTAAGAGAAAAACGGGAAAAACATGTTGCTTATATTGTTAGCTTAACTGTTGTCAAGACGGTGGGAGAAAAAACGAGTTTTGCACACAGTCACTTGAAGGGAGCAGCAGTGAGGAAGTGAACAAAGACAAAGTGTTGAATAGTTACCATGACTGTGGGTTAGGAACGTCCAGGCTGCACACTGCATGAAAGGGAAGAGCGGGTATCAGGCAGGGTTCCTCATATGGACTAGGAGGAACAGGGAGAACGGTTAAAAGAACAAATGAATGCAGTACAGTGTATAACACGGTCACTCTAGATATAACTACGTTTACAGTGTAAAGAATTCAGACAAGGTTCACCCTGTTTTTGTAACGCAAAAACTGTGAAATCAAATTGCATACGAGAGACTTCAAAGGTAACATCTGCTGGTTTCTTAAACTACTACTAGTGTAGCTAAAATGCACCCAACCCTAACTCTCTTAAAAGGATCGCTAGAGACCTGGTGGAGTTAAGGAGGTAAGGTGAGTTATTAGTAGGTCGTGATGTCATCTTAACATGCCTCTGTTCATCCCTGCATTCAATAATTACATTCATGAATATGCCTCAAAACAAATGACGTCAGACAAGCAGTGCATAATCTTTATCTCATTGGCTGAGTAGGGTTTTTGTGGTAAAGTTAGCTGTGAGATTTGATTCAAAATAAAAGAAAGTTTTCACTAGTGATCTGGAACCTGATTAACAACACAAGGCTCCAAAAGGTTAGGTCAGCCACAGACACAGCTGTTCAGTACAGTGTGTGCCAGGCATGGGTTTGGCATTAAAATACTGATTCCTAACACTGGGCCAGAAACGAAGACATAATACAGAAATTCTCTTTACGAGAAGGATCCAGGTGTCTGTTTTCTGGCTGAGTTAGACAATAGAATGATTTTTCCCAAAATTATTTGTGTTCTTTTCAATTTGAGTCAGTGCTGGAGGAACATAGTTGGATAAACACTTGGCTGGATACTGTGCAGCCCTCTAATTCAAGGTTAGAAGGAAACAGACTGTAGAGGGCTGCTTTTAATTGTTTCCCTTTCTCACAAATGTCTTAACCCAATCTTTTATTTCTTTCTACTGCAGTTTAGTTCAAGTATGACAAATATAGATGTTGTTTGCTCTAAAGAAGAGTAACTACAAGCTGAAATAAAACCAAAGTTCATTGCAGGCAAAAAAAAAATGGACACAACATTAGAAATCCTGTCACTGTTTCTCTGATGCTCTCTCACAGAGCAACAGATCCGAACCAGATGTTGGAATGTCAGAGCGATAGTGTTTCATCTATGCACGCCATGTAAAACTGTTTGCTGATCAGATTTGGGTGCACGTGGTTTATTGAAGGATATTATATGATAAAATTAGATTCAGACTTTGGGCTCTGTTCATGTATCAAATATCATCCACACAACCAGCCCTGCGATGAAGACACTGTCTGCCACTACACTAGGGATTACTCGTGCCTTGATTGTGAAATTATGAGGCAATGCTGATATTTATAACCCTAACCTTAACTTTGTCTTGTTGGAATATCTGATTTTGAGCTGGTACAGTAGTCAGTGTGTTCAACTTTGAAAACCATTTTTATTTCTGTGTCAGGCACGTGGTTAGTCGTGGTTTAGAGGTTCGGATTGGTTATATTCATCTTTATGTTTTTATTCTTTGTCACTGCTAGAATAACTTTGCATGACTGCACCTGTCATTCCTTTTAAGACAACTGATTGGCTGCTCCGAACAAACAGCAGGTGCTTGGGCCTTCTGTGCCATAGCTGTTTTCCTGAGAGTAAATTTTTAGGGATATGTCAGTGAGATCCTACAGATCCAAGTGTAGAAAGCTAAACAAAGTGTGTATTCTAGCTTTTTGTCCACTAAGATTATTTATACCCATTTAAAACTTTGGTCATGTACAATATGAGTGGCACAGTATATTTGATTGAGCACACTTAATTCATAAACTAAACTCCAGATATAACGATGGCAAAAAACAAAAAAGTTTGAACATTACAGAGAAGATAAGTATCTACACACCGTCTATCCTACACATAGAGTTTGAGTTTTGCTGTGAGTCTGCTGGTCTCTGTCGGGGACTCGGCAGACACTTCTGCTCAGTAACTAGTCAATTACATAAGTCACAGTGTGGACTTTATCTACTTGTTTCAAAGAGTTTTTAACTGGCTAGATGCTGTGGTTGGGCTTGGAAGGGTTTCATTGGCAGGGTCCAGTTTCTTAAACTGCTGTCAGGTGTTGCATGCAATCTAACTTACATGTGTGCAGCATCATTTTTAAGCTCTAAGCTTCTTGTGCCTGCCAAGCATAGAGGGTAGATTGCATTTTAGTCTAGCTTTTTAAATGTTGCTCCTTAATTATAGGGCGCAAGTGTACCAATCCATCATGCTGTCAAGTCACCAGAGTAACATCTGGGAGGCAGAGCCCAGCTGGGGACAGTCAGTTTCAGAGAACTAGGGTGCTGGGAAGAAACCCTGGAGCTGTCATCCTCGTGACTCCAGCCAAGTTTCTGTTTGTCCAAATGAGTAAGAAGGAAATGAGTTGAAGCATCAGCATTTGAAGCATTCTTGCTTGTGACCAGATAATGATGCAGTTGCAGTAAAAATCTTGGGATTGGCAAAAACAAGTTTCTAACTTAGGTAGTTTCCAGAAGTACAAGGTAAGAGACAAGGGCGTTATATATCGTTTTTAAATTTCGTGCCTTGAAATATCCATGCTCATTCAGATATATTTATGTTGTGTGCCTTGCAAGTGTTTCTTTTTGTTCAGAGCTGCCAAGCATACCGAGTTCCATCAAAAAGAGAACAACAGGTCTGGGTGAATTATGCAACTAGGTTGACAAAAGCGAGGCAGGATTTCCCTGAAACCACACGCGGCTGAAACAAACCCATACACAGACCTGGACAGACTGTCCTGGTCTTTTGACAACAAACATATTTTGTGATTTATTGTTTTTTTTTTTAACTGTCAAAGACAACGGGCCCATTCATTTAGAGCTGAACAATCCCTTCACTCATTGTGTTTCAACCCTCTCAGGCTCAAATAAAGCTTTTTGTTGCTAATGCACAACCAAGTCCTGCAGTGGTACTTCTGAGTAAAAAAACCTCATAAAAAAGTATGTGCGGTAATCAAGTTGTTAGTTTTTAACTGTTGCAAATCGGCAACGCCTGCCTTGAGAGGGTTAAGAGTCAGCTCCCACTGGAGCTTACTGGAAAACCAATCGAGGCAGGTTTGTCAGGTTGGTCCTCAGTCTTATTCAGCTGTCTCATGGTCTTAATCATAACCCGCAGCAGGTGGAGAGCAGTTTTCTGAGGCTGCAGAGTAGAATAAGGCTGCCAGCTGCTGTCCAAGACTGTGTTGAAATCTGTTCATGGGATGAGGAACTTACTGAGAAGGAAGCTGATTTCTGTTCTGTTATTTATTGTCACAAAATATATATGGTGTTACTTTACTGATCTCCTTTTATACACCCTGCACTCACATGATAGTGCACGTATATACATGCAAGTTCACTGCACACAATCTAATTTTGTAGGAAACAGCCACACCTGTAAAGCAAACTAGTGCAAAATTGTTCAAGACATTTCCAGACAGTTAAGAAAAGTGAAGTCTAAGGTCACCAGATTTGTGACCTGTGCACGCACCGCCACCTCTCTCGGTTTGCCTTTGTTGAATTCTGAAACATTTCTGTTCTTCTTTCAGGTTCTCACGTTCAGATGAGCTGTCGCGTCACCGGCGGTCCCATTCGGGGGTTAAGCCCTACCAGTGTCCTGTATGTGAGAAGAAATTCGCCCGCAGTGACCATCTGTCAAAACACATCAAAGTCCACCGTTTTCCTCGAAGCAGTCGGACAGTCCGCTCAGCAAACTGATGCTCCACCTGCTGAGATTACTGGGATCACTGGGAATCCTTGGAACACCCTCGTACTATATCAGTACTTTTTAAAATTCTTTCCCCCCCTTTTTTTTGTCGTGTCATCAGCAAGTCATCTGGAACATGTGAGTTGAAGCAAACCTCAGTTGGCGTTAGAGTGGTCTGGGATTGTTATTGTAAGAAACCAACACGCTTACCATCCTGTCTGTAATCAGCTGAAGGTTGATGTCGGTGCTTTGGTCGGTTGTGCACTGTTCTTATCACCTGCCTGAGAAGAAAATAAGATAAGCTTATTTCGGTTCAGTCTGGATTATGTGATACGTTTGGTAATAGCCTTGCATTTCCATTCTAACTGGATACAGGAGCTGCCATTTATTTTCCTGAAAGCTGCTAATGTCTCAGACATGTTAAATTTATGCAATGTTTCAGAAGTGAAACTCACTTGGATCCTCATCAGCTACTACCCGAGTCGTAGTTACTTTTCCTTGGGTCCAGAGCGCTTTCTCTCAAGGTTTTGTCCTGTTGTTTTTGCTGCCTTGCACCACTGTTAATTGACTAATAACTGTGGATAACTTTCTATTCAGCTTGTGTCTGAAACACAATGAGGGAACTGTTTTACTGACGTGGACATGAACTACTGATTGCATAACAAAAGGAATAAAACATGATAAGCTATCAGGACTCCTCTTACTTTTTACAGGAACTTTGTAAACTGATGTAAAGAGGAGAGCTAAAAAGTGACAAACTCAAAGGTTAAGTGCACAGTGATTGTTAAAACTGGCCTTCTGATCAGTGTTAAATGTTATTTGTTGAATTTTAAGCCAAGTCATGTCTACCTGCTTCCTGGTCTTCTGTTTGTATCATAGTTTAAGCCTTACTGTAACAAAAACAAAATCATTGTTGGAGCGTGACATTGTTCTGGAAATCAAGCTTCTCATTGCAATGTGCTGTTTGACTGTTCACAACAGGGCCCTGAACTAAAATTGTTGCCTACATCTGCTAGTTTTACCTGATCTATTACTTTGCTGATGACACAATTTCTGCCTCGACTCTGCTTTATCTGTTACTCGAAACGCCCTGACGGCCTTCCACCTCAGCCAGCGAGTATCTTACCTTGAGGGGATGAATGAATTCCCACACACCATGGTGCTGACCTGCCATGAGCTGGAGAATGTGGTGGCAACGTCCCCAAATTTTTGAATGTTTTTATTTCTCTCGAACATTATTTGCTGTGTGTACAACAGCCCGTAGGGGTGCGACTATGCCGTCCATGTATAATTCATGTCTGTATAGTGACAACATGCAGGGGTACACAACATTGTACATCATTCCTTTTATTCAATTTTGAATTTTTAATGCTTGTGTCAGCACAGGCGTTTTATCGCATCCTATGAATGTATGTAAATATACAGGCGCGCACATCGCTGCATCCAGGAAACACACAGAGACTATTCTGATGATTTATAGTTTTCAACCCTAAATGTGTACATAACATTTCAGTACATATGGATATATTATATATTTTTCCTTTGTTCTATCCAAGATGCATTTACAAATAAAAGTGAAAAGAATCAGTCATGTATTGTTGTTTTTTTTGCTGTGTATTGCTGTGTTTATTACTTCAGGAGAGAACGGTGCTATTTCTGCAAACACACACATCCAGGTAAATATACTAATTGTGAAACTGAAACTGAGATGAAAATTCAGGACGGATTCTTTTCCAAGTTTCCTGTCGTACATCTAAATCTGTGACTTCAACGCCTTACTTTATAAGTATACCCCCAAAGCATTATGGGAAGTGTAAGGCAGAGGTAAATTTCATCTTGTTCCTGCAAGTCAATAAAAAGATACAAATATATTTTAATGCTTTTTCTATATTCTTTGTATATTTCTGGTGACTCGTTTAGCTGTTCCTTCTAACCGTACTGAACCAGTGGTGACATACACCTGGCAGTGTTGGTATATTTATTTTGGCTTAACCCAAGTTTAGTGTATTTTAATTAGCAGGGATAGCAGGAACAGCCTGCTCTGTTATTTGGCAGTAACACTGTTCTTGGGCCATGAATGAAAAGCCAGAGGTGAGAAGAATCGCACAAGACCCCAGCACAGAGCAGAGCAGGCATTAGTGATAAAGGGATGTAGCAAAAAGCAGAGTTAGCTGGAGGTGGGTTGCAAAGCAGCCTGTAGACTATGGACAGGATAAAGCACTCTAAATAACACCATTTGGCATTTGTCTTCCTGCGCTTCCTTGTCATTTCAATACTGCCATTGTTCTAAGCATGCTGAAAAACGACACTCTGGGTGGCAACAACTGTGCCAGACAGAAAGTCTCGTGGGACAGTGACCTGATCTTGAAATATAGAAGGCACTGCAATCAAGTCATCCTAAATTTAGACAACCATTGGTGCTCCCAATGTTTAGTACCTGGAGTAGTCTTTCTACAATAAATAGTATAAAAGACAAAGCAGCATGCACAGACCTTCCACTGAATACTGATGAATTAACAGAGACATCTGATGTCTTACTCTAACAGTGTCCTCTGCTAGCCAGAAAATAACCATGAACTAGACCATAGACACCACAGTCTGCAGTCCTTAGTAGAGCTAGCTGAAGAACCACTAGGTGTAATTTATTGGCATTGTGCATATGAACCCATGACAAGGATAAAAAAGGATGCATACAAGCAGGGCTGAGTTCTGGTTTTACAGTCTGGAAAAACTGCCTGGTTACTGAACATGACAAATGAGTATTTTGTATCTTTCCACTTTATGATGAAAGTCATAAGCAGTAAATGAGGCAACTGAATGATATGTGTCATTTATCTCAGAGGAACACAAAATGTATTTGTTAAAAAGATTAAATGTGAACAATGAGTGTTTGTGCAAGCTTTGTTTGAAACTTGTCTTACTGGTAGTTACGAGGAAGTCTTACAATGACGCACTTGCTAAGCAACCGCACAGTTGTAAGTGTGATGGCCAACAGATGTGTTCTCGACTCTGTGAAGAGGATATCCTGATGAATACCTGGTGCAGCTGCCAAACCTTCACAGAAACACAACAACAGGTAGACTGCAGATGAGAACATGAGTGGGGAAACATTTTTCTTGATGTGTTTCAGAGTGAACCTTCTTCTGGTGAGGTCACTATGTTACACATGACGATGTTGAGATAAAGCCAAGAAGGAGACGTTCTCTCTGTATCCCTCCGATCCCTGCATTACTGTGCAACAGTATTGAGCCACTCCCCATTTCTTCATATTTTGCTAGGAAACCAACCACTTCCACTTTGCCAACCTCATTGCTGACATCACTGATCTAGTCCAGTCATGTTTGTTTGCTTGTTTATTTAGAATTTGACCAGCAGAGTCTACAGTTTCCATAAGCTGGAGATGGATTGTGCAGATGTGCAGGAGGCAATGTGTTCAAAGCACATGGGCAGGGATTAGTATGAGCTGCCTATTGTATGATTATTTCCCGTCTAACAGGAAATGTGGTTCCTGAGGTACTTCATGTTGCATGCTGAGCATACAGAAAGATGTGTACAGAACACACGTGAGCACAGCCAGTGAGCATGTCCTGGTTTAGTCCATTTTCTCACTTTGTTAAAAACGGTAATTTAAAAATTAACCTACATGTTGTGTTTAATAAGACCTGAAACTAGGCATGGGGCACCCAATTCTAACTTTTCAAAACTGTCTCGAGCTTCCAAAGTGCAGATGATTTGGAATACTGCTCCAAGTGTGATTCCGAACACACAAGTCGTGTGCTCATGGCTAACTGAGGTTTTGAAAGGTAGCTTACCTTCTGCTTCTAGCCAGGTGCCAGGATTCCTATTTTTCATGAACCAGACTCATTTGGACCGGGCCTAGTAATTACTGTCTTTCATGCTACTGGTTTTATTTATTACAAGTGGGCACACGCAAATGTATAAAAGAATTCTTAGCTTATTCAAATTATTACTGACACATAGATGAAATGAAGAGAGAAAGAGAGAGCGGTGTACTCGTTTAACTTCATTTAATTCTGTCTGTGAATGGAGCAGAAAAACAAAACCTGCAGGAACATTCAGGTCTAACTTTATCTATTCTGCTTTAAACAGAGAAGTTGCGCCCCTGGGCGCCTCCTGGGTGAGGTGTTCCAGGCATGTCCCACCGGGAGGAGGCCCCGGGGCAGACCCAGGACATGCTGGAGAGATTATATCTCTCGGCTGGCCTGGGAACGCCTTGGTATTCCCCCGGATAAGCTGGAGGAGGTGGCTGGGGAGAGGGAGGTCTGGGCCTCTTTGCTTAGGCTGCTGCCCCCGCGACCCGGCCCCGGATAAAGCGGATGAAGATGGATGGATGGATGGTTATTTTCTTGATCTATTGTCAGGCGATGATGATGATGATGATAGCATTATTTAACCAGCTTATTCTGGTTTAGGTTTAGTTCTGCCCGTGTTTATTTTTTTTTTTTTTGTCCCGTTTGGATCTTTAGCCATCAGAATTGTTGTCTTAAGGCCAAGAAAGATGCCAAGCGGATTTATTTTACCAAGTGGATCATCATGGCCTTGCCATATTGGTCCATTTGATTGACTGTGGAATATACGAGGCACAGGTACACGCACACGCAGGTTGTTATTGCCAAGTTCCACATTTATTCACACGTTTCACAGGTTTATGCTTTTCACATAGACTGATAGCTCGTTCCCAGCTGACGTGTGTCGTTTTTTTCATCCCGCCACCGCTCTCCGTTTCACCATAAAACAGGGGAGGGAAAACCATCGTCAGTCCATAATCACCATCAGCTGTTCTTACCGGCGTCTCCCGTACCGCCCCGTTGAGCCCACTGCACCACTCCTCCCCTGCAGCCGCGCCCGGGGCCCCGCCTCCGCCACATTGACCTTTATTATAATTATGTATTTATTTTATTTTCAGCTGCTACAAACGGGACAGACATGACTGGGGGATAGGACAGGGAGAAAGAATGAAAGAAAGAGAGGGAGAGAAAGAAAAACAGAGGGGAGAAGAGACGGTGAGAAAGTGGGGAAGAAAGAAAGAAAAACAAACAAAACACCTGGATCACCTGTATGGATAAAAAAAAACAGAAGAGAAACCAAACAATAAAAGAGCAACATAATAAAAACAGCACCATCACAATAAACTAGCTAGCAGTAGATAACAGTAGATACTAAATATTAAACGCTATTGTGCAGCACGCAAGATAGACAGCGCACAATGTGCTTTGAGGCAGCAGCCAAGAAAGGTGTAGTCCGCGTCTGTGTACACCTGTGTGCACACCTGTGTGGATCAGCATGCTTGTATTCCAAAGGTTTCTCCATGTAACGATCTGCTAGGGAGTGTGGGGAGCCACAGCCCCGTCCCCCAGGGCATGAAGCAGGTATGGAGGAGATCCAGGCCCCAGACATCCAGAGGCCCCAGAGTACAAGGACCCGAGGAGGACCACCAAAGGGGGGGAACCGTGCCACCCTCTTGGGAAGAGCTGAGTAGAGCCCCAAAGGAGAGGTCACCCAGCAGCTACGGAGCAGAGGCCAGAGGGGGTTGCAGTGGCGTGCCCGCGGGCTCTGCCGGCAGCCAGCTGTGCCAGAGAGGACCGAGCTTCAGGCCCAGAGGCCTGAGGCCTGAGGGCACCGCACCCCCCGGAAGGGGCCCAGCCGGGCCACAGGCGCCAGGCCCCGCAAATCGGCCACCAGGAGTGAGCCGGTACATACATGAGCGCCCAGCCCCAGTCGACAAGAACCACAAACACTCCAACATCTGAGGGATTCAGCCACTGGCAGGGACTGTGGTGAGGGGAGATAGGCCTCCGTACTTTAGAGGACCTGAGATGTACCCAGAGAGGTTGAGTCTAAGACCCAACCTGACATATAGACACAGACGAACAGGCACACGCGGACACAGACGTGCATTCCCACCCCATATACACAACCAAATACTCGGCACTCACCCAACGTGTAGACAGACACAAATAGACACTGCACAGACAGTCGCACTCCCCAAACATACTCTATATCCCAGGTCCAGGTACCCCCGCCCCCAGAGGGGCAAGCTGCACCTAGACCCAGGAGATGTAACCCTTCTCTCTGGGGTGGAGGCAAGCGGACCACCTCCTTATCTGCAGTAGCAGGGAGGCCCCGCATCCCAGACCCCAATCTGACGGCCAGCACCTCCTCCCAGCCCCCCAGCCCTGACGGCTAACAGAACCGGGGTGAGTGAAGACCTCAAACCTCACTACGCCCGCTCATATGTTGCTGTGTGCTGTTCTAAAGTGCATTTAAAACTCAGGAGAGCATGGTACTAGCTTCCTCTCAGAGAGCAGCACGACTCTTCCTGAAAACCCTTAGTGTCTAAATGCATTTAAAATTGAGGGTAGGGCACCAGCGCCAGAGGTGGGTTGGAGTACACCGACCCTCCTCTGGATGCTGTAAAACGTGCCCACCCCCAAGGCCCTATATGTATGTGTTATGTGAGAGTGTGAGTAATGTGGATGTCTAGGTTGCAGAATAAAATTGAGGCACAGGCGGCCAGAAGGGGACAGAGGGGGAGTGCCTCCCCTGCACCCTGGTGACATACCTGCAC